TGTGTTGTTTTATAGTTTTACTTTAGAATTTTTTTTTTCAATTTAAAATTCTCTTTAATTCTTTTTTCTTCAAATTTTTTACTTACAAGTAATATGTTGTAAAAAAATTTCTGTCGCATTTTATCTATATCTTTTTTATATAAAAGTGATTTTTTTTATATACATACTATAAATATCTATATCAGAGTGGGGGAGGTATGATAATTGCGTGTTGCAGTAAATTTGGAGGTAGTGTACAATAAAATAAAATATATATCAAGCAAACGACGTCGTTTTTGACCCCCAATTGAAAAAAAAAAAAAAAAAGCAAAAAAAAATGCTATAGGAAAGATGGATCAAGACACTGTTGCTTTTTACAGTACCCTCACATTCCCCTTTTTATATAGTAGGGATACTTATATAGTTAGTTCTGCTGCTATTCTTGTAATCTGACCTTTTTTTTTTCACTTAAAATGGTCAATAAGAACTCAAGATGCCAAGGTGCTTAGATTGATAACGCCAACAATTGAGGGTGGGTATTCTTGTTGTGGGTCAGCCTGCTTCTATAGTTGGACTGATTGACGTGAAAAAATGTGTAGACTCGACATGGCTCGATTTAAATCTTTATTTGTTGCACTTAGAAGGAAAAGCACTTGAAGTCGGTTGAAGAAAGAAAAAAAGGATCATTATACTTTGACAACTTCCATTAGAATTAATACGAAACTTTGGACACCAGTGTACATCCAAACTCTTGTTCCCTAGCCTGTTGAAGCACATTCCGCGATTTACCTCTCTCACGATGCTCCAGAGACGGGGTGATGGGGCCCCTCATGATTGGGATTCAACCTTTTTAATACAAAACTTTGTATGATGTCGAACAAGAAAAATATAAAAAATTGGCTTCGTTTACCAACTAAAATCCTAGAGAATATTTTAGCCAATGGAATGTGTATAAAGGTCCACAATTAAAGAAAACTTATGTACTAAATGTATGAACAACTTTATTACTAATAGTCTGCGTTTGGTGCATTGCACGAGTTTTGTATTTATTATGTTATTATTAGTATGGAATGTTTAGAATTTAGAATAAGTATTTACAAAGTTTAAAGAATTTTTTGGACCCCCTTTTGGATTTTTATTTTGGGTATATTTTTTGTGACTTTCTGTTACTTGATTGTAGGACTTCGTTGAAATTATAAGCAATATTTTGAGTCTTTTTGATTGAAATACTGGATGGGTACTTTGGATTCTTGTAATCACATTATATTTGACGAATCCCATGCTTTTTGGGTGATGAATGTGGGTGGTAGGAAATTAGGTTTTTTGGAGATTCTGTACTATTAAAAAAAAAAATGTGACAGTGTTATGTTCACTTATTACCTTAATGCTTGATATGAGTTTTGTTTTTTTTTTTCCCCAAAAATGGAAAAAATTAAGATAGTGACTAAAATCAAGAATCCTAATCTTAAGGATTATTCACCGACGAACGGAATTCAAATCCGATTTTAATTCATCGAGATATAACCAAAACAAAACATACTAAAAAAGGAAACAACACATAAACGAAGGAATTTGCTCAAAATTGACCCCACTACAACATCAAAACTGCATATTTTTGTTCAGTGGCACGTTTTTAATCAAATTTGACTAAAATTTCATAAAAAGGGGACAACCTCAAAATTTCTCCAAAACCCGAGAAATTGGAGTTGAGAAAGGGAAAAAAAAAAAACTCCAAAAACCATGTGCTCCGTGCTGCACAGAGTGCTACACTTCATGTCATGGAGTGGGAGTGGCACTCCGTGCACGTAGTAAACGGGGATGGAGACTAATTTTTTATTTTTATTTTTTTAATTGTTAACAAAATAAATTTGAAACATTAAATGATTTATATTAAAAAAATGAGTTACTTTGTCAAAAATTTGGGTAGGAGGAGTACGTGTGGATTTTTTTATATTTTTTTTAAGATCAATAAATCATTCATCCATGGTTTTTCAGTGTATACCAGGAAGATCTGCAAGACACCATTTGCCAAAACTTGTGCACAGTGCTCAAATCCACAACTATTTACATCACAACTGAGATATCATCACAAATATAAGACCAAACGAACTATTGAATAACTAACCCCCGAAGTTTATGGTCTACAAAAAGATCAGACCGATGGAAGTTTGACATGTCTATGAGACTTTTTTATTTGTAATTGTATTCGTGTGATCGTAAATATTTGATCTTTATGTTAATCGATTTCACTATTTCTATATCAAATTCTATTTACTTTCTTATTTACCTACATATTCCATATACATCCCAATAACTTTTCATTATTTACAATTAAACAATGATGCGCCATTCCTTACTTGAAATTCCTTAATTGAAACATCATCTTCATCTTCTTCTAAAAAGAAATTATTGTATTTTCATTAGGCCAACACATATATCATTCCACCACAACATCTGACGTATATTCAATGACCACGACAGGCCTATATATAATTTTAATATATATATTTAATTTTAATATGCATCCACTGCACACAACTACAAAGAAAGAAAAAGAAAAAGAAAAAGGTACCAACATGGATACTTTTAAATGAAACCAATTCACATATAAAGCAAGGAAAATAACCATTCCCTTGAATGAATTTGAATTTGAGCTGTAGAACGTCTACAAATTTCAAACAAAATAAGAATAAGAGCTCAAGTTCAGGACTACCAAACATCAATCAACCCATCAAAAAAAAAGAATCTTATAT